TTGAAAGAGTCAAATTTCTTGTTACTCAGAGTTTGTAAACATTTTCTACTTTCCATGTGTTTCTCAATGTTATGTTCTCTGACTTTTGCAAATAGAATAATCCATCTGATTCCAATCATCAATTTGAAGACCTGGGTGGCTGGTGCATGGGAAGTGAGGGACAGAGTGTGGGGGTTGAGTTGGGAGAAGTGTGGAGGGGCCAAATCATGAAGGCCCTTAACATCCACGTGGAGGACTTTAAATTTCACCCAAAAGTGACAGGAGGCCATGGAGTGGCTTTCCGTGAGGCAGTGTCATGAACTCTGAAATTACATTGCTATGCTGCCTGCACACCCTCTTGTGCAGTTGTTCGTGAATAGTTTTTAGATCTCATTCCCCTTAAAAGGCTTTCTCTCTCTGCTTTCTCTGAGTCGATGTTCCTGATTTGAGAGAAGGATGAGGTGTGTCTTTCAGTCACTCTGAGTTTAAAGCGCTTTTGAGGTAACGAGGGTGACACATTCAGAAAGAAGCTGGAGGCAGGGCCTACAGCTCAGCAGAGAGCTGCAGATCCAGGTGGCTTTAGCTCTAGTGGCTTCATCCCAGGCACATGCTGTTGAGTTCTAGATCTTCCGCTCTCCACGGAGCTCCCAAACCAGCCTCCTCCCCATCTCTCCTCGCCTAGCGGAGCCACCATTCATCCAGTTGCCAGCTCAGAAATCTTGCTGTCGTCATCCCTGTCTCCTCTCTCTCCCCCCGACCCTCCATGTCATCGTGTCACCGGGTTCTAGAGATTCGGGCACCTAGGAATTACATTTTATTACTAGAGGCCTGTGCACAAATTCGTGCACGGGTAGGGTCTGGCTGGCCTTTCCCGATTGGAAGGTCCGCGGGCGGTTGGCGGCCCCGCCCCCTGGTCGAACTCCCAGTTGAACGGACAATTTGCATATTAGGCTTTTACTATATATGGGAGGCCATGGAGTGGCTTTCGGTGAGGCAGTATCTTGAACTCTGAAATTACGTTGCTATGCCCCCTGCACGCCTTCTTGTGCAGTTGTTCCTGAATAGTTTTTAGATATCATTCCCCTTAAAAGGTTTTCCTCTTTCTCTCTTTCTCTGAGTTGATATTCCTGATTTGAGAGAAGGTTGAGGTGTGTCTTTCAGTCACTCTGAGTTTAAAGCGCTTTTGAGGTAACGAGGGTGACACATTCAGAAAGAAGCTGGAGGCAGGGCCTACAGCTCAGCAGAGAGCTGCAGATCCAGGTGGCTTTAGCTCTAGTGGCTTCATCCCAGGCACATGCTGTTGAGTTCTAGATCTTCCGCTCTCCACGGAGCTCCCAAACCAGCCTCCTCCCCATCTCTCCTCGCCTAGCGGAGCCACCATTCATCCAGTTGCCAGCTCAGAAATCTTGCTGTCGTCATCCCTGTCTCCTCTCTCTCCCCCCGACCCTCCATGTCATCGTGTCACCGGGTTCTAGAGATTCGGGCACCTAGGAATTACATTTTATTACTAGAGGCCTGTGCACCAATTCGTGCACGGGTAGGGGCTGG